GAAGTAAATGTACATGACTGTAAGTAATACTTTCCCACAAACAAACGACGATATAATTATCGGATAGTCGAACCAGTTTCCATCGGTGTTTGTGATTAATTTGGAAAGTGCTCCATACTGTACGGTATAAACAACCTGGGCGTAAATAATTCCCAAAAGCCTATATTGTACAATACTCAAAATAATGTCACCTTGTCGACACAGTCATCCGACGGATGAACTTTCGAGCTTCGTTTACCGTTGATTATACTCCAAGTCATAAGACTGTAGATGACTAGCCCCGTTTGAGCGCTGAATATTTGTAATTTGTAATTTTTATTCTTTAAGGATTCCCCAAAGGCTTTCGCCTATCGAGGGGGTTTCCAAACTTTCCATTATCGCCCCTCCCCCCGAGACACACACATCATAGCACCATAGAATGGGGTTGCATTTTTGTTGTTTTTGCCATGTGATTAAGCAATCACGAGTGAAACGAGGGTTGCCTGCTGCTCCTCGTTGCTAGTCTTGAAGAAGAAAAAAAAATCACGCCCATCTGCTGCTGCTGCTAGCTGCCAATATTGATGCTGTCCCTGCGTTCGCCACCTCCAACTGCTGAGGTGCCTCGTGCTGTGGCACTACCACACCTTGGTCCGCCCTGCGTTGATCCGGAATCGTACTCTCGTACTCTGCTCATGCTGCCGTACTCTCGCGTTGTGGCCTCGTGGATACGTCTTACGCTATTTGCGCTTGCCACGTGCTTATGCGGCCCGCCTTACCTGGTGGGCTCTCGCGCCTTATTTCCCATAATATAAGCATGGTGGTGTCTGTCATTGTGGACCGGGCGGCATCCGGGGACTTCGCCTCTTCCATACGTGGTATGTTTGCTCCGCCACACCGCCTGTTCTATCTTGCGTACTCGGTTAGTACTGTACCTTGGCTGAGGCTTAGTACGCGCGCTGGAGTCCTTTCGTGCCATGAAAGGAACTGCTTCCTAATATAGAGATTAGGCGCCATGAGCCCTGCTTATAGTAAACATTGCATTAGTAGCACTGATACCTTTATGCAAATATGGGGTAGTCTCGCCCGAGCATATGGGCGTACTCGTACTGCGGCCTGGGCTTTCCCCAGTACGGCTGCCCGCCATTGCATGCCAGACACCCCCATTGTTGCGCGCCTAGCCACGCGCGTGGCTTTTGCCTGCTGCTCCGTTGTCAGCGATAACTACGGTTTGCCGTACGCTGCAAACCTACATTTATCGCCCCTCCCCCCGAGACACACACATCATAGCACCATAGAATGGGGTTGCATTTTTGTTGTTTTTGCCATGTGATTAAGCAATCACGAGTGAAACGAGGGTTGCCTGCTGCTCCTCCAAAAATAGGTTTTTGCATCGGTCCTGGGTGCCGTGTTTCCATGCCACCCAGCTAGTGGGAGGGCAAGCCTGCAGATATGTGTGGATGTACCGCTTGTACGCTGAAATGCGCCAACGTCCGGCTGCCTGCCGCTGCCGCTCTGGTGCCCGTTGTGCTGCCAACTCGGTGGCACCGCCCTTGCGCAGGGAGTGGCTACCGACCTCGGGGCGCAAAGCTCTCAGCAGTAGGTTCATGTCCTTCTGTGTCAGCTGCTTGCCATTGCCGTGGACAAAGAAGGGTGCCCGGCGTTTGGCCACCGTCGCCTGGATCTGTATGCCATGACGGCCTCTACGGGACACAGCTCTTTGTTGGCTGCCGCTTAAAGCAACGCTGTGCCGCCTCTGCCGAACTGCGGGGTGTTGGTGGGACCAAGCTTGATTACCACCTTTGTCTGCGCTATCTGGACCTAAGCCACGGTCAGGGTGTCGAAATTGCGTCCTTCGCCCGTTGACGTTGAGGCATATACACCTACGCACAGCAGCCCGTAAAAATGCCGTCAACAGTACTGCCCATATCATTGCTTTATCGCTTGCCGAGTGGGCGGACGTGCCCACTTGCGCTTTTATGGTGAGCAGATCTGACGGAGCAACTGGTAGGCCCTGCCGACCCGCATGGTTACCTGCCTCCGACCTCCGTGTGTCAAATTGCGTTCGCTCGATGCCTTTCAATACGGCAACGAGGCGTTGTGAGCGCAGTCCCTCTACGGACATGCCTTGCGATAGCAGGTGAAATCTTATCGCAGCCAAGTATACCTTAAGTGTTGCCTGCAGACACTAACTCTGAAAGTGAGGTAACAAAGCGCACGATCTCTTCGTTGTACGGCTGAGCCGGGTTGAAGCCGACCGCTAACGCGGATTTCAAGTATGCTTTAATGCCTGGCTGGTATGTCTTACGTGTGCTGGGCGCGACCGACAATGCTACCAGGGTGTTGGCATCACGAGACAACTCGGGCTTCCCGACATCGCCTGTGCAGACCAAACGCATCTGCGAAAAAGTGGATGTTGTACGTGTGTCCTGCCTTTCCTTGACCTCTCATCCTGCTCGGACATGCCCTTACTCTAGGCAATCAACCTCCAAAAATAGTAGTGGGGAGCTCCCTTAGGAGAGCTAATGCTATGCGTTGACCATATGCTCCTTGGTTCGCTTGACCGACATGGGATGCCGCATAGGCTCTGTGTGTCGCAATTCTGCCCGCTTGGGTAGACAGTCGCATTGCCATGCGCCTTATGGGACCCGCGCGTACAGGCTGCACGACCTGCCATGCTTGGCTGCGCTGTTGAGGTTTGTCAAGCGGTCTGTGGCATGCACCAACTCCGCTGTACGCCATGCTAGTCCCGCGCGGGATGATTATAGACTTTAATATACTGTACGCACAGCGGCGTCGAATTGGCCTTCTATAATGTATGCTTATGTATTATTATAATTACTGGCAACGCCCGTGCCCTTTGCCAACTGCATAAGGCAACGCCGCATACGCCCTGCGCGCTGCAATGCTGCCCCGCATGGGTATACATATTGCTATGCGCCTAAGGCGCCGGTCACACATGCAGGCGGCGACACCGCTTTTGCGGCTGCCTCCAACACGCTGGCAGTGGGCGCTTTTGCGGCTCTTTTCTGCCGGCGGTCACACATGCAAAGGCTTTGGTACGCACGCAGCTTCACGGGTCTCCACAGGTGTCGTAAAACTTTTCTCTGAAAAAGACTGTAGCCTCAAAATTCCTTTCCTGCGCTGGTATGGATCGCAGAAACGCCCAGAATCGCCGACTACGTCGTGACCAGCGACTGCGGAGAGCTATGGAGATTGCCTCAATATTCATGTTGTTCAATTTCTCTTCGTTTGAATCTTGCGGAAGCTCCTTGAGCATCGGTGGACGCCTGAGTCGAGTCCCATGTCGGATGGTTGACCTCGAAATAGAGGGAGAGGAGTAGTTGCTCTTGGTCAGCAGCCCACTTCATGACGAGAGATGAAAAACTAATTTTTCCAAGATCCAAGAGATCCAACAACGACAACGCCGCAAAAGTTGCACTACCGCTTTTGTGTTTCGCCACCAATTTTTTGGTTGTGGCGCTTTTGAGATTGCCGCCGTGGCGCCAGTGGCGCCAGGCGCAGTATCCATGGTGATCCGGGGATATCCCAACTTTTGTGGTGCAGCTTTGGTGGTGTCGCAAAAGCGCCATGCATGTGTGACCGGCGCCTTATGGGACCCGCGCGCGCGGTCTACCGTAGAAGCCGTGCTTGGCTGAGCTGCTTAAGTTTGTCAAGCGGTCTGTGGCGCGCGCCAGGTCTGCTGTATGCCATGCTAGACCCGCGCGGGATAAATAATTATAGACTTTTTAAATACATTGCGTGCACTGCGGCATATAAATAGCCTTCTATAATATATGCTTAAAGCATGTATTGTTATAATTTCTGGCAACGCCCGTGCCCTTTGCCAAGCGCATAAGGCAACGCCGCATATGCCCTGCGCGCCGCAATGCTGCCCCGCATGGGTATACATATTGCTATGCGCCTTATGGGACCCGCGCGCGCGGTCTACCTGAGAAGCCGTGCTTGGCTGAGCTGCTAGTTTGTCAAGTGGTCTGTGGCGCGCGCCAGGTCCGCTGTATACCATGCTAGTCCCGCGCAGGATGAATATAGGCTTTTTAGAATACATTGCGCGCGCTGCGGCATCTAAATAGCCTTCTATAATGTATGCTTTATGTATTATTAAA